CAGACACCCCACCGTCCTAAGAGAGGGAGAAAGGGAAAGCTGGGACGGAGGCCCCACCCAGTCACCCTCTCTCCCCACCTGCCGCTGCCCTGGACTCTCTAGGGAGAGAAGCCCCCTGAAAGCCTTCCTGAGGCACCTGCCCCCCCCGCCCCAGACATTCTGCACGGGCAACCCAAGGCAGAGATGCCAGGGTGCTGCCCACCCGCTTGGCACAGGGGAGCTCCTTGTCTGACCCACACAAAGGGTCCATTCAGAAACCCCCTGGGCCGCCCCCCTGCCTGCAGAGTCATCCCCAAAGAATGTGCCCCACCCCTCTGGTCAAATTGCTCTCTTTAATGGCTAGGCTGCGGGGGCGGAGCAAGTTGAAGGAGCAGGGAGGGGCCGTGCTCCAGTCACAAAGAAAGAGGGCCCCCCCATAACTTCCTGCGGGGGGGGGGAGCAAGCCCCGCCTCTGAGGCTCTGCGCAGGCCGCTGGCCTCAGACTCTGCCACCCCCCACCCCCACCCCGGTGCTCTGGAGGGAGCCACTCTGGGGTCCGGCCACGCTCCGTCTTCATCCTGGGGACTAATTTACTCCCAACCATGACAGCCAGAGTGATGGAGAATCTCCCCTCTGGCCATGTGCAGAGTGTCATTCCTTCTGCACCGAGGAGCCTTGAGATGCCTGGAAACCTGGTCTGCCTGGGCCCCTCCAAGAAAGACACGGGACCGGCAGAATGGCCAACCCTCACTCAAGGCTCCTCCGCGTCCTGTTGGAGGTCGATTCCAGAGTCCGGCAGAGGGCTCAGAGTTACGTCTGGAGTGCCAGAAGTGGACCCACCGGCTTTGGAGGAGACGCCACCTCCCTCCTCTGCTGCATGCCATGCAAAGAGACAGCAACACTGCATGGCACGTGCGCACACGCATGCATGCACCTCTCCCCCCTCAGCTGCAGCACTGAGCAAAAGACCCCAGGAAGCAGGAGGATCTGATGGGGAGGGGGGAAAGGGAGAGAAAGAGGGGCCGCCGCCGGCTCATCCAGGCGAGAAGTGGCCAGCCAGACTGCTGTGCCTCAGCCAAGGAGAAGGCCCCTCTGGCCCAGCCTCCGCCCCACCCCACCCGTGGCCTGCCTGGAGACAGAGAGGGCTGCTCCAGCCCTGCCGAAACCCACGCTCTCCTTTTGCCTCCTTTTAAGGAGCCCTGGCGGCTCTTCCATGCACGGCTGTTCCCCAGGAGGAGAGGGCTGGAGAATCGCTTTGAGCCGCAGGCAGAGCAAGGAGCCTAAAGCCCTCGGCCTCTTTCCCACCCACCCCCGGCCTCTTTCCACACACACGCCCCTCCCCAGGAAGCTGAGGATGCTGTGGGGTGTGTGTGTGTGTGTGCAAGAAATGCATGCTCTCTTGGAGTGCAGCTTGCATTTCGGGACATACTACTGCCCCCCCCCCCCCGTGACTCTCACCTCTTGGGTGCACAACAAGTTCCGTGCTGAAAACGGCTCCAGATGGAGGCTGGTCGAGGCCCCCACCTCCCGTGTACCCTGGCTTGCCAGAAAGGGGGGGGGGCAGGGCAGGGCAGGGCAGGCTGCACAGTGAAGCAAGACAGCAACTATGTCCTGGGCACTGCAGACCACTTCTGCCCACCGGCCAGGAGAGCCTCAGGGCCAGGGCGGGGGTCAAGGACAAGGCGCCTCTCCGGGAGCAGCAAGGGGGAGGGGTGCATGGTCCGCCAGCACAGCCCGCATGCTGCCCCCCCCCCGCACTTACTGAGCAGAGAGTCCTCCTCGGGCTCAGAGGCTGTCATGCTCGCTGGAGGGGGGAGCCCCACAGGAGGAGGCAGGAGGGCTGCAGAGACGAGGAGGAGGAGGAGGCAGAAGAGGAAGGAAGGAAGAGAAGCAGAACGAGGCTCAGTCTTGACCCCGAGGCAGGTGCCCCCCCCCCCACAGCCAGGAGCAGGAGCAGGAGAGGAAGGAGAAGAAGGAGAGGGAGGAGAGGAAGGGAGGGAGGGAGGAGAAGGGAGGGGGGAGGGAGGGGAAGGAAAGGGAAGGACCACTCTGCTCTCCCCACTGCCCTGGCACCCCCAACAGCCCTCGGCTCCTCCTGCAACACTGCATGCAACTTGTCCTTCCACAGCACCCCCCAACCCCCACGGCCTCCGCAACGCCCCTCAGCACCCCCCGCCAGCTTCCCTGGGCGCTAGAGGCCCCCTGCCGAAGGTGGCTTCCCTCTGCCCGCCGTGAGAGGGGAGGAGGCCTCAGCGCCCTGCAGGCCACTTGCATCCCCACCCGTGCACCAGAGGAGAGGGTGGGCTGCACTGTGAGCCGTGGGGGAGGGAGTGAGGCGCCCAGGGTCCCACGCCTGAAGGAAGAGCTGCGGGAGTCTCCGGGAAGATCCACACCCCCGGTCCGGGCCACGGGAGCACCCTGGTGCAAGGGCAGCCCACAAAGCCTCTCGGCCGGCAGCCTCCGCCTTGCTCTGGAATGTCTTGTGGCCGCAGAGTGGTCTGGAGCTTCCCAACCACACTTCTCAGCACGAAGGGATGGCCTCCCTTGACATAAACACCACTTCCACGGGGCACTCCCCCTGGGCCATGGGCACGTCTGGGGGAACGGGCCACTCTGCCTCCTGCCAACTCAAGCCTTATGCCAGCCTCCCCCTCCCCTCCCACACCAAAAAAAAAACCAGCCCTGGAGAACAGAGACTCTGTGGGCATCAATGGCCAACGAGCCCCGGGGCCCGCGGGGGGGGGGGGGGGGGCTGGGAGCCACTGAAGGCTCGGTGCTGCTCTCTGGAGCTTGGTGGGGAATACAGAAGGGACTTTTAAAGAGGGAACAAGGTGGGGCAGCCCTGAATTGCGGCAAATGGACACCCAGCCTGCAAGGAAAACGGAGAAAGACATCCTCCAGTGAAGGGAGGGAGGGAGGGAGGAAGTAAGGGAGGAAGGAAGGAAGGAAGGGAGGGAGGGAGG